GATTAAAATGTTGATTTGTGGTTGGGTTGTGTGGGTTGTGGGCTTTTAAAATGAAAAATGAGCTTAATTTATGGGTTATCTAGTCAAAACTCACTAACCCAAAATGAGAAGACCGAAAGAAAATAGGCTAAAGTCCAACCGCCAAACAAAAGGTAAAATCGAGATTTTACCTGATGTCATGGTAAAATCGAGATTTTACTTGATTTCACGGTAAAATCTCGATTTTATAAATTTCAGATTTTAATATAGATTTTACACGAAATGTTTTGCTGAAATCGTAAAATTGTAAGATTTTAAGATTTAAATCTAGATTTTGACAACAATGGTCACACCTATCAAATTCTCTATCATTAATTGCATGTTGCCTAATGTAATTATGAAGTGCAAAAGTTGCAGCTACTATTTTCTGTTGTGTTTTAAATGAATAATTTCGCACGTTGGACACTATCTCAAATCTATTTTTCCAACCCCAATTGATCGTTCAATGATATTTCTAGGAGAAGCATGAGCATGGTTGAATACTTTTTGATAACTCATTGGTTGGCTTCCATGTCTAAAATCAGAAATATGATACCTTTCTCCCTTATAAGGTCCTAAATATCTTTTTATATTTGGATAACCAACATCAACAAAATAATATTTGCCTTAAATATATAAGAAAAGTTATTAATAATAAACAATGAAAATGTATTTAAAAATTCATTAAAAATATGCTTTTGTTATTATATTATAAAATAAACATAAATTCATTACCATTAGGAGGATGAGGGAACACATCTTTATACTTTTCCAATGTATTATTGAAAGTGCGTGCATCATGAGCAGATCCAAGCCAACCTGTAACTACAAATGTAAATATCATGTCAAAGTTACAAACTACCATCACATTGTGAGTGGGGATGCCTTTTCAACCTTTGAATGGTACTTGATTTTCAACTAGGATCATGGCTTTTATATGTGTAGCATCAATTGCACCAATACATCCTTTAAAATGAGGCCAAAACCTACTATTTTCTCGAATCTCCCTTGGAGTTTCAACAAAATTAGAATTAGGTGGTTTGATAGCATCAATTGAAAACCTCACTAATGCATCAAGAACCTCACGAAATTTTCTACTTACTATTTCTCCTGAATGTTTAAAACGATTTTGCACATTGCGATTAGATTCTTTATGTGCACACATCCAAGGAAATATTGCAAGTGCTTCATCCACACTCTTTTTTTTTGTTGATGTTAGACCATAATTACTAACCAACAAAGAACATAATCCATTGAAAACATGTGGTTCCATTTTAAGCATTTTATAACTCTCACCTGGACTTGCCAATGTCTCTTGTATCCATTGCCATCTTGCAAGTCTAGAAACTTTTGTTTTTTGTTTATTAAGATATTTTGAAACATATCTTGATGATATTGAAGCACCTACCGAAATAAGAGAAAGAAAGACATTTATCTTTTTTTCATCTAGCTCCCACCTCCCTCTCTTTTCGTTGTATAGCTTCTTCTTCCATATTATCCTCATCATTATTTTCTTCCTTCATATGATTGTCATCATTGTTTTCTTCCTCCATATCATTATCATCACTATTTTCTTCCTCCCACCTTAAATCTATATCCATCTACTAAGAAAAAAAGAAAAAAGTTAAGGGAAATGTAATCACAACAAACAAATCGTAATATTTTTACAACAAAATTATGTCAATAACAAAATAAAGGAAATTACCTTTTTTTATTTCTCTTAATGTGATGAGAAATGAACTGGAAGAATGATGTAAACTAAACTCGTTTTATTCCTTATTGAAAGCAACAAAGCAAAGTAGATGAACTCTAATGAAAGAGAACAATTGTTAGTAACAAAATGGAACAAAGAAAAGTAGTTGGGGTTGGTTGGTTAACTAGGTGTTTTCTTTTTATCTCTTTTACTTCGGTCGATTTTACACTCATTTTATGCTTTTGCTAATTTGTTTTCTAATGCCTCACTTTCATCTCTTTTTCCAACAAGACTAGACTAGACACTTATAATTTAACATTTTTCAATAAAAAAACTGAAAGGCTGAAGGAGAATGGCAATAAAAACAAACAAGCATAGTCAACAAGAATTGATGGACAATATAAGGGAATTTGTTTGTGTTGATGACGACAAAAGGTAAAAGTATGGAATAAGAACCTAAACTTGCACTAAATTTATAATTCTAGACCTAAATTTCAAATGTGCTTAATTAAGTCTGAAATTATATGAAACTATCAACAAGGTCCCAATTGGATAGAAAATTAATTTGTCATTAAATGTCTCATGATTCCATTAATAACGTCCATTAGTTTGTCACCTAATTGGAATGATGACATGGAAAAAAGCATACTGAGTTGTCATTTTTAATGCACTTAAAACAATCCATGATATCCACGTGGATTAAAAAATGACAAGTTAGCATTTTTTTTCCATGTCATCATTCAAATTGGGTGAAAGACTTGGGTGAGAGATTGCTGGACATTAATAGAATCATGAAACATTTAATGGAAAATTATTTTTCTATCCAATTGGGACCTTATTGAGAATTTCATATAATTTCAGACTTTAATTGAGCACAATTGAAATTTAGGTCTACAATTATAAATTTTGTGCAAGTTTAGGTTCTTATTCCATACTTTTACCTTTTGTTGTCGTCAACACAAACAGATTCTCTTGTATTGTCCATCAGTTCTTGTTGAATGTACTTGTTTGTTTTTATTGCCATTCTCCTTCAGCCTTTCAGTTTCTTTATTGAAAGATGTTAAATTATAAGTGTCTAGTTTAGTCTTGTTGGAGAAAGAGATGAAAGCGAGGTATTAGAAAACAAATCAACAAAAGCATAAAATGAGTGTAAAATTGGGACTTTAACAGAGTGTAATTAAAGTGTCTCAAATTAAAAATTTTGTACACATTTAGGGCCATATTTTATACTTTTGCCATGACAAAATTCAACAAAAAACCCATTGGATGGAAACAAAAAGGAAAAAAAAATGAAATTGATGAAATTCTATTATTAGAAGTGTAACATACTGTCAAATTTTATGGTTTTTTTTATTTACGTTTTGGTCCTTACATTTTGAATTAGGAATAGGCCTTTTTTTTTTTCAACTTTGTGTTGCACTGGACCTTTTTTTATTTTTGTCTCATTTCGGCAAAGATGTATGCATTCCATGTGCTACAAAAAAAAAATCACAAACATTATTTTAACATGCATGTTTTGAGTAGGAAATCATTACATAATTTGAAAAAAACTTTATGATAAAACATAGATTCATAATATCATTCAACATTCTACATAACTACTACAATTTTACATGTCAAATACCAACACCACAAATATCATAATGCTAAAAACTAAACAATAAAAGCTTAAATTCTCAAAACTAAAAATTAAAACCCCAATATTGATATTAGTTTTGCATCTCAAATCCTAAATGCCACATCAATACTAGAAACTCAAGACCACATATAACAACATAAATTAATATCTCACATCCTAGTGCTTTTTACCAACTTTCTGCCTATTCAACTTAGCCCTCACCTTGTCTGTCTCCAACTCTTGTTTTAGCCAAGAAATTTTTGAGTTAACAGATTTGACGCTCCTAAACATATTTCTATATTCTCGTTTCACAAACAAACGAGTACCTAACATAAATAATTCATCACCATCTTCAATTCCAGGCAAAGTCAACAACATATCCATGCATTTGTTGACTCAATGTACTCCAAGAGGAGGGGTGAATTAGAGTTCCAAAAATTCTCCCCTTTTTGCAACCACAAAACCAAAATTCAAGAGAGTAGAGAAGAAGAGCTTGCTCAATGATTTATAGAGGTTCGGTCCAACCACTTGGAGCCTAGTCCTCTACCTTGGCTTTACGTACCAAGGATTTCCTCCACACTCTCCACTAACAACAACAAGAGTGGCTTAAAGGAGCCACTTAATCCTTTTACAAGAATAATGGTGTTTCTCTCAAATCTCACCCCTTTACAAGATAAATCCAAACAATCCTCTCTACAAATCACTCTTGAAGGAATAGTCACACCCCCAAGATTACTCACAAATAAAACAAGAAGAGGATTACAAATAAAGATCTCTCAAAGATCAAAATCTCAAGTTAAAGCACAAGTTGGTAGGTGAAGATATTCAATACAATGCTCTCTAAACCTCCTTCAGATCTTCTACCAACCATATTTATAACCCCATGGTCGAAAATAGCCGTTACTAGCCGTTGGGGGTCATTTAATGCTCTGCAAAACGCAAAGCTCGAGTTGGAGGATTGTCAGGAGAGCCGGTTCAGCTTCCTAAAGCTAGCTCTATACAACCGGCTTTGCGGGATTCTGTACATTCTGTTTTCTCCGTACAGCCGGCTCCAAAACGCAAAGCCGGCTTTGCGGGTTTGCTGCACATTCTGTTTTCTTTTACAGCCAGCTCCAAAAAACCTAGAGCTGGCTTTGGTATTCCTACTTTAAAAAATATTAATTATTCTTCAAATAAGTCGACCGTTGTGCATTAAATGCGCCTTTACAGCTAGCTGCAAAGTTAGAGTCGGCTCTACGTCTTTTCTCTGTGCGCGCCAAACAACGGACCTTTAAATCTTTACCCGTAGAGCCGGTTGCAGCTTCCAGAGCCGGTTGCAGCTTCCAGAGCCAGCTCTCTGCACTTCCATTTCACTAGAGCCGACTGCAGCTTTCAAGAGCCAACTCTCTGCACATACTCAAGCCTTTTTGGTCCATTTTTAAGTGTAGTCCAAGTTTACTTGCAATCTTTTAACAACTTAACTATACACTTAAATAAACTAATTAGTCACTTAAATGTGTTTTGTAATCATCAAAATCATAGGTACAATAGCATTCTCCATCGCTATCAGTAGATGCATCTTCATAATTCTTCCTTGATGATTCAATTAAATTAGTTTCGGGTAACTTTCAATTGCATCACAAAGACGATCCAATTGTCTTTGCATGTATGTTGCTCCCCCCAACTTAACTTTCTTTCTTTTAGGGTTACTTGAACTACCAACTTGTTCTTCCTTTTTTCATTGCTTCTTTGGGTTGGTGTAGCCATGATGTTCACCTCATCAAAATCACCACTTCCTTCTTCTAAATCAAGAGCATCTTCAACCTTTACTTCACCCACATCCTGATCTAGAAAAACAGCACCAGCAGTTGAGGTCCATGCAGTTTCACCTATTATCACTATTTTATCAAACATTCTCTCGAGCTATGTTGCATTTTCTAATCCACGATGCTCAAACTTGGCAAATTCTTTATTCTCCTACAATAATTAACATCATAAAGGATAAAATAAATTATGAATTTAAAGTTAAAATTAGCATATAAACATTCACAACTTTAAAATCATTACTAATAACAAAATAATACTAACCGCTTTCAATGCAGCCATCGTTGAGGAGTAGCATCAATAGTACCCTTTTCATGGTTCCACCCTAACCCTGTTTCTTGTTTTAAAAGTTGATTCCACAAAACCCAATTACATTTTAATGAATCCCACTTATTTCTTAATTGTTTATAATTACAAGTTTTATTTGCTCTTGCATTGAATTTTTGTTCTACATTTTTCCACCCTGTTTCATTAAAAGTACTAGTGGGATGATTACCAGCCATAACCTCTTCAAAACAGACCTCATAGAAAATTTTAGTTGTAATTGCATCCCATATTGCCTTTGTCTTTGGGCTTGCCATCTTATATATTTGAAATGATTTCCTCCTAGTTTAAACAATATCTGTAAAAATATAAACTTGACAGTATTAATAATAGTAACATTAACAATCTTAACACATGCTTAAATATAAAAATAACAAATTAAGCAATGACATAACAGCTCAGAGATACCAAACAAATTTCTTTATTCGAATTAAACATTTTGGGGATTTGAGGCTTACTCAGACTATTATCCACAGAACAAAAACAATATTAGGTTGGGTGGTTATCAAAGGGGTAGTCCACCTCCTTGAATAGGGTTGAACTCCCATCCCTTTCCCGAAAACAATTTTATCAAGTCAAGAGGAAAAAAAAAACAATTATTCAACAAAGACAAACTAAAAAAGAGACTAGGCTTTGACTTTTTAGGAACAGAGATATTAAAAGAGGGAGATTGTCATCATTTTAGAATCACTTGAATGCATGCAACAATTTGTAAAGAGGAGTTGTCTTGAAACAGAACGAATTTAATTTATATAGGTAAAGACAGAGTACAATTAAAAATGATGACAAGGTCATGCAAGAAAAAGGACAAAGATCTTAATAATAAGGAATATCATTTTTCTTGCCCAAACCAATTCTTATTGTTGTCTTTTATGATATAAGATAACAATGTTAATTATGGGTTTCTCAAAGAAAGATCATGTTATGATTCTATTTGCATTTGAATGCTAATATAATTGAAGAGTACGTAAGATCAGTACAATAAAGGGGAAAAGCTTGCCTTACGAGTATAATAGAAAACCAATTCCCAATTCACTATATTGTCCACCCCATTGCACACCTTCTCAAACTTATGGTAAAAGTCCCCAGCCCACAATATACCATTAAGTTTTAAATCCACTATCAATATCATACAATTGGAGCCACTGTTTCACACACCTAAGTCTTAGAAAATTTACAAATCATAAAAAATTTTAAAAAGGCTCAAACAACATGACTCACAAGAACACAACTCAGAAAAACAATAAAATCCCATTCTTGTTTTTCAAAGGAAAAACTACATGAAACCAGAAAAGGTTCCCATTTTTTTTTCTCAGAAAAGAAAATTTTTAGAATTCATATCACTCATTCATATGAACACTCGCACATACACAATTAATTATACATTCATGAATATATACATACATACACATACACGTATGAGATAGAGGTGAGTAGAATAAAAAATTCAGAATTTTTGCACAATGATATGTAGTTTCTCTAGCATTGAAAGAATGTTACATCCATTGATGACCTAATACATACAAGTGCATACAACTAGAAACACTAAAGAAATTCAGCCAAATTCCCTCAAAAGTCTAATTGAAGAAAAAAAAAATCCTAGAAGGTGAAAGGATTACCGACAAGCCGAGGCCAATCACCGATGACAGAATCAACTCTATTGCACGACGGTTTGATAAAAGGAGGTTTTGGGAGAGTGGTATTTATATGTTGTCCCACTCGGAGTCAGTCATTAATGAATTATAAAGGAGGCGTCGTTTTTGGAATCTCAAAATTTTTTTTTTGGTAAATAGAGCACTAACAAAAGTTACGATTTGTACTATCATACTAGCACCAACAACGCACACTAAAAACAAGAATTCAATAAAATACGTGGAATAAAACGATCAAAAGTATAGATTCAATAGCCTTTAAAATCAAACCACCAACCTAAAAAAACTAGAAAAAATAGTAATAAGCCACTGGATCTAGAAGCTTACTGGTTAAAGATTGATGCACACCACTGGATTTGGGATTGATGTCGGAAAAACTGAGCTTCAATAGACCAGCAAGATCGGGATAAGGTAAATTGTTCCAACTGGGTGAGAATGAAGAAGAAAAGAGACCGAAAGAAAAAGATACTTACCCATTGGTTACTGAACACACCACTGGATCTAGGATTGATGTTGGAAAACTGGGCTTCAATAGAGCAGCAAGATCGGGATAAGCAAAGCAGAAGTACTTTTTGGGTAAGAATGAAAAAGAAAAGAGACCCAAAGAAGGAGATACTTACCGATTGGGATTGAGAGATACTTACCGATTGGGATTGAGAGATACTTACTGATTGGAACTGAGCACACCACTAGATTTGCGATTGATGTAAGAAACTGGGTTTCAATATAGCAACAAGATCGGGATAAGTAAAGCATAAGTACTTTTTGGGTGGGAATGAAGAAGAAAAGAGATCGAAAGAAGGAGATGGAAGCGACGACAAATAAATTGGAACAAAGGCAATCGGCAAATGGAGAAGATGAGAAGAAGGAAAAAAAAGGGGTTTGGGTTATAAATGAGGAGGTATATATAATGGGTTAGTCATAAATTTATTAAAATATAAGGGTAAAATAGGTATAATTGGCCAATTTCATTGAAAGGAAACAGGAAGCTCCTGCAAAAGCTTCAAATTTTTGCTTCTCAATTTTCAAAAGGTGGAAGCTAACTTTTGCTTCTTGGGAGCTGAAGCCAATCTCAAAAGTTAGGGTGTTTGGTGCAGTTGGACCTTTTGGACTTCAAAAGGTCTACCCATTAGTTGCACCAAACACCCACTTATTATCACTATTTGAAAGAAGGAAGAAATATAAATAGATTGAAAGAAGGAAGAAAAATAAATAGATTGAAAGAAATATAATGGGGAAAAATAAAAAGGTAGGAATATTCAAACGAAAAATACATTAAATCATCAAGTTCAAATAAATCATATTCAATGAAGAACCTTTTTTTTTTTTTTTTTGTTACTTCCTTCTGCTCAAGTACCATTAATAACAACCTAATAACATCTACAAATGAGCAAATTACTTAATGTAGAAACCAAATTAAACTTTGTACAATTAAATAAATTAAAACAAATAAAAATATAATGAAATTATTCTATAATAAATATACCAACTAAAAAAGCGTTTTCTTAAGTTTGGTTTAAAATCTTATCAAACTCAATGAAAGAAAATGTATAACAAGGAATGTTGGAATCATTAAGCAAACTCTAGGTAGTCCTAGGATTAAAAATAATCTTGTATTTATGTGTGGTGGGCTTATAAAGATCTTCATTTAAAGAAACACCAAAATTTGAAATTGTATAAACTCCTTCTTCAATAAAAGTATCCTTAAAATACAAAGAAGCCTTAAGAGTTGCTTGAATTCTCTTCCTGAACAAAACATGTAAAAGTGCTAAAAAAAAGAGATCTTTAAAAACAAACTTTAGAATACCTATGAAAAGCTCAATTCAAAAATACAAAATACTTACTTGTTCATCCAAAAAAAGCATTTCAATATGGTCACCCAATTTTGGTTGTTGAAAATTCTTCTACTTCCAAAGCTTAATTACTCAAACCTTTATCTGTCATTGCTCTTTAAAGGGATTAAGATCTTTAATAACATTGAACATCTTAGCCATTAGAATCTGTATGCTTTTTGTGATATATATATATATATATATATATAAATAAGACTAGTATAACATTATATATGCATGCAAAAGAGACCCTTCAAATAACTAATATTTATTGGATGGATTATGAAGAAGAATTGGGAAAATAAAGTTTGCAAAATTTGAAATCAATAGATGAATGTAAATTTCCAACACATTGGAAATATTAGACAAAAGTGAGGCCTTTGGAATAGAATAGGCAAACAAATAGTTTTATTGGCTTGTAGCAAACAAAATTTTGGAAATGTAGTAGACAATAAATAGTGGAATGCATCAAACTAAATATTGGAATACAACAGACTATAAATAGGCTATATAGAAAAAAATCAATAATAAATATGAATATTTTGAATTTAATGAAAAAATAGCAAAAAAACCCATCATCTAATGGTTAGAAATAATTTTTCCAGGTACTACATATATATCATTTTTCAATTAAACCTATGAAAAAAAAATACAAAATACTATAAACCATTTAAGGAAGATCTCCTCTGACATTTTGCCTTTGATCATATCTACAATTGTCTGGCAAGTCAGGTCCAGCAAGCTCTTGATATTCAAATAGTTTTTGGCCTAAAAATTGCAAAGATTGAACACATAAACAATTCTATCTATTAAATATTAAAATGTATCCAATCCTAAAACATATTCAAGAGCAGAACAAATTGGAATTAGCAAAATAAACTCTAAATTTTCAACAAATTAAGATAGAGCAACATTCTATCCAAACAAATTAAGGATATAACATAAGAAATCAATAAACTACAATAAATTGAAATAGATTAAGGGGACAAAAAAGAGAGCAAAACTTACTAGGATGAGGTCAAAAAGAGTTGCTTGATTGACCTTAATAAAGTCGGTGTCCCTGACCTTGAGCTCAACATCCATAAAAGCAGCATAATTGTCAAATGTGAAAGCCTCAACGTGCTTCTTGTTGTATTCAATCACCTTGGATAAGATACAAATTTCCAATCACTTGTCCAAACCAGAAATTGTTAGACCTAGCATGTAAAGGGTTTAACGGCCATATGGGCTTTAGTGAGGATGGGGGTTTGATAACAATGAGGGAGAGAAGATGGGGTTTCAGTTTGTCAAATCCAAGTACACATCAATTTCTAATGAAAAATAAGTAGTCGAAAGAAAGAAACAAAAAGTACTCATATTTCATGAAGATCAACACTTGGTGATTTGTTAGATCCAGCATGCAAGGGGTTCGACGACCATGGCCTTTGGTGAGGAAGAGGGTTCAGCAACAATAATGGAGAGAAGATGGGGTTTCAACTTGTGGGGAAAGGTGGAAAAGATGAGCTTCTACACACTTTTTGGTAAAATGGTGCAAAGTCTACATAATTTTTGCTTTGTTTTTAGCAAAAAAGAAAAAAGAAAAAAAGGCATAAAGTTATTTTTTTCCAATTCAATTCCACATTAATAGGACATTATGAATATTTTTAATAGGAAGTTGAGAAATGAGTAATGTAATAATAATTGAATTGAATTACAAAAAAAAAAAAAAAAAAGTTAGGTGAAAAGGAATGTTTGAACTGGTTTCAATCTATAGCTTGGATTCAGTTCAAGAGTTTAAAGAAAAATTATCTAATTTATAAGTGTGAATAGCTGTGAACACAAAGGGGTTTGTTTGGTTTTACTTTAATGTATTTTTAAATTTATCACGTGAACATCAATTAATCCTTAAATAGAAAAAAACTCAAAGTTGACATTTTTAAATAGAAAAAGTTGAAAGTCAACTGCCTTATTTAGAAATTGATAAAATTTACATCTTTAAATAGAAAAAATTACAAAGTTGACATTCTTATTTGCACATTTACTTGCAAATTGTCACAATTACATAAGAAATTACAAACATTAATAAAAGAATATTTATTGTTAATTAAAATTTCATATTTACTTTACAAGGGTAGTTGGGAAGTTGAGAAGTGTTCTTTTTTTTTTTTTAATGAGGAATTATTAATAAGAGTAAAATTCGAAAAGAAGATTTTAACTTTATGTTGAAAATTAAAATGACAATTAAATTGTACATATCTTTTTTAAAAAGTGTGACTAAAGTAGTTGTTAACTCTTTTATATATTTTTAATTATTTTTTGAATAAAAATTACGGATTTTTTAAAGTATTTGCACAGGTTAAAAATATTTTAATTGTATCTTTTGTAATTGATAGAAAAAATAAAGAGAAAAAATATAAAGATATATGAAGAAAGAAATTTTTTTTTCTTAATTTCACTGAATATACAAGGTGTTTATTTATAAGTCTGTATAAGATAATATTCTATAGTACAAAATTAATTAACCTAATTATAGCAATAAATTATAATGTGAATTCAATTAACATAATTATAATTTGAATATTCTGTAATATCTCCCCTTAAATTCAAAGTGGTGATGAGGAGACCAGCTTGAATTTGGAAAGAAGAGTGCGGAAGCGTTCAGGAAAGTGAGTTTTTAGTGAAAAGATCTGCATATTGAATATGCAGATCGGTGCAATCGACGCCGCTAAAGGAGCAGGAGGCAATATCAAATCTAGGCAATAGTAATGTTGAAAGTTCAATTGCAAGGAATTAAGAGCAAAATCAGTGACAATTGAATGCGAAAAGGTTGGAGCAACATTGGCCGTGGGAGTAACGCGTATTGCCGGTGCAACAAAGGAACAGGATCAAGAAAACTCAATTGCAAATAAATACAAGAAAGAAAGCAAAGATGATGATGAACGGCACCACCTACAAGCAAACCCGCAACTCACAAAGGAGATGAATAGTAATAGTAAAAAGAGTCTCAAGGCTTTGATACCATGATAGAAAAAATAAACAGAAGAAAAATATAAAGACATGAAGAAATAAATTTTTTCTTTCTTAATCTCACTGAATATACAAGGTGCTTATTCATAAGTCAGTAGAATATAATATTCTCTGGTATAAAATCAATTATCTTAATTATATTAATAAATTATAATGTGAATCCAATTAACATAATTATAATTTGAATATTCTATAATAGTAATTAATTTGTATTAAAAAATTAAAAATTAATTTTAATTTTATCAACGGCAAATTAAAAAACTTATAGAGAGTTTGTCTTCCCATGGCTACCAACAGTAAGCCACATCAAATTTTTTATTCACTTGAATCAATTCCTTAGCCTTTATTCTTTGTTACTATTAGCCTCACTTTTGCGAGGATGCGTTCTCCTTGGATCTTAGAAGTTGTTGTCCCCCTGTTTATAAGGGTATGGGTTTTCGTTGCAATTTGACGATCGCAGTTAGGTCTTCTTCTTCATGTGGGTGAGCGAGGTTCCCTGAACCAAATTATCTTGCCTAGAGGGGACAAAGTCCGCGACCGTGCATAGTGGCAAGGCGAGAGTTCGTCTTGTCGCGAAGGTACTTGGTTCGTAAGGGAGGCTGGTTGTTGTAGAGACACATGCTTCATATGCTGTGGTGGCATCTGGATGATGTAAGTGGATGGATGACCTTGGTGACCCCAGCAATTGTTTTGGGGCAGGAGCAGTGCGGTAGTGTAGGTTTAACGGAGGGGAGGGGCTAGTGGAGTTAGAGGGTGTGTCTAACACGATTATGCAAAAAAAAATTCTAGGCCAACCATACTTACTCCTATTATGTTAGGAGATACTGAACGTAGTTTAGGACCTCATCTGATTATGAGAATTTGTTTTAAAATTTTCTTCATATATGATTATAAGAATTTGTTCTAAAATTTTCTTCTTGAAAATCTAATTTTGAAGTGGCTAATTTGAGCAGGATGAGATTAGAGGCCTTAATTATGAAATGGTGTGATATTTTATTTCAAAACAGAATCTTTCAAATGGGGACTTTTGGTAGTTAATGAGGAGTAGACTCTTTCGATTTGTATTATTAGGTATATTATTGTATTTAGAAATATTTTCTATTAGTATAGGTAAATTTGAGCAGGATTAGGGACAATAAGACTATGAGTTCCAATGTATCCCTACTTAAGCTTATAATTTCCTTTTATTAATGGAATTTGTTCTTTTCATAAAAAAAAAATTCTTCCATATGATATTAATCAAGGTTTTGAAAACCGAATCGGATTGGATGGTCGAATCGGTTAAATCGATATCCAGTGCTCTAAATGGTTTGGTTATATTTTTTGAACCGTTTAAATGATTAAACCATTTGAAACCACTCGAACCAATGAACCGTTTGAAACTGCTCAAACCACTCAACCGGGTGGCTCAATGTTTGGGCATAAAATTTCGAGAAATTTGTGTCCGCCGAGATTTGAACTTGCAACCTTAAAATCTTTAGACTGATCCTTTGTTACCAGGACAATGCAATCCTTTGGTCAATGAGTGCTGGGACTTTAATTTAACCCATATAAATCCCAAAGATTTTAACCATATACCTGATTACAAGCTTGAGATTCGAACACTTAATCTCCATGTTGTAGAAAAACGATTTTTCCACTTGAACACAATGTTCTTTTGTCATTTTAATGCTTTACAATATACTTGTTCTACCTTCAAAGCACAATTATATTAAAATTTGTTATTGGAGTGACTTGAACTCCAAATTTCTCTTATAGAAGAACAGCCATCTACCAGTGCAACCCACCTACACAATGTGATATATTTTGCAAAATCATATATTTATAGTATTTGATTAACCGACGATTTTATCGATTAAACCGATTGAACCGTTCAAACCACGAACCAAAGGTCAAAACGGTTTGACCTCCGGTTTGGGTTTGAAAACATTGATATTAATGATTAACACAATGGCAACTTTTATTTTATAAAAAATACTCTTTTATTTTAAAATAATTAATAATTTTAACTTTGTTTTAATTAAAGAATAAAAAATAATATTTATATTTATTTATAATATTTTTAGAAATAATAAAAAAATTGTATAATTAAATATTTAATTAAGATAAATAAATAATAATAAAATAAAAATAAAAATACTTATTTGTATTAATAAATAAAAATTCATAATTAATTTAAAAAAAACTTAAAATAAAAAATTTATAATTATTTTAAAACATATAGAGTAAATATAAAAATTATAAATTTTTTATATTAAATTGTATAATAAAACTAACCCTCCTTATCTCATAAACCCATATACTACAATTCAAAGTCAAAATGTCTATATTTATATTAATTTTTTTTTTGATAATCTATTTGTATTAAATTATTGAAAAGGGTTTAGCACAAAGCTATTCATAAAAATTCAATTCGACATTTTAGATTTTAATGATTCACCTCAAAATTTTAAGCGTTTTTGAAATTATACCGACGCTTTGAAAATTTCATTTCCCTTTCCTCAAATTATACATTGTTAAAAAAAAAAAGTAAAAAAAGAAAGAGGCTATTCATAAAAATTGTAAAAAATTGTAAATTGGCGCATCCATAACCAATGCCTAGACATAACCAAATTATAGAGAAGCTAATGCGTGAATTAATCAAAAAGCTCTCAACTGAAAGGCCGACCAACAACCTGCCGAAAAATCTTCAACATTATAACAAATTCAATCCAATCTCCATCCCCAAATCTCTTCCTTTGAGGGTTTTTCTTTATTGTTTTGGGCGCTCCAGTTATGGAATTTCGATACTTCTCCCCATCTTAAACCCCCAAAATGCGACCTCTTGACACCATCGCGGAATCCCCATTTTCCGTTTTGGAGACCCAGAACCCAATCAATTCATCTCCTTCTCTCAGAGGTATATACGGGTGGCTCTTTGAGTGCCATGGGTTTTGGCACAACTTGGCTCTTATTATCTCCTCGCTTCTCTTCGTGCTCTACCTGTGTTTTCAGGCCAAGAAGAGCTTCCGAAGCTCTCTCATGGCAGGTCCTACATCATGATAGCCTATTACTGCTGCCTTTGGCTAATTAGCTTGCTCAATCTTGCTTGGTGTTCTCTTCAGGTTTGTGGGGCTTCAATTTGTTTCTTTGGTTTTCCATTTTGGATTTCTTGAATCAGTAAATAGTTTGGCCGGTTAATTTGCAATTGTATCTCTGTGGTATTTGATATATTGATGGTAGGTTTTGAGTTTCTAAGATTAGCCAATCAATTTTTGAATTTGTAGCATTGCTACTGGGAGGTTTAAGTTCTTAGTGAGTGTCAGAGAAAAATTCTTTGTTGTTCCTATTAAGCTGAAAGAGAGCTTAGGTTATGATTTTTTGCCGAATTGAAATGAAATCTGGCTGTTCCGTTTACTTGACTGCTTGAGCTTTCTGGGTCTATTTTGAAGCTAGTTAGCTTTTGATTCATTTTATGAATATGATCATTGCACTTTAAACCTTTCTAATCAGCACACGGGTTCTGAATTTGTGTGTGTGTCTGTTTTTTTCCTTTTTTTTCTTTTGTTTTTGGGAGAGATTTGAGAAGTAAAATTCATGAATTGTGGACTCTGAATGTGTATGATAAGGCATTCTTAATGTTTGTTTAATAAATATGGATATTTGGTTTAATGTACCCTTTCTGTAAAGGGTTACATGTCCAATATTTGTGTCTAAGCTCAGGGCATCTCGTGATTATGATTCCCTCATAATTATGAGTTGTGAGACCATTTCAATTTTTTGTTTTGCATGTGCATGTCTTTTTTTGTTAGAAACTGTGTCAAAAGGTCATCCTTACTAGAAGAATTTTTTCTTGTAACCTCAATTTTCTTTGGATTCACTTCCATGCTAATTTTCAGGGCTTATGTAGTGTATAATAGTGTGAAGATAAGTTTGACCACTGAATTGTGCAATTAGATAGCTACCCATTGATTTTGATATTTATAAACTTGATATGCATTGAGGAAGAAAGACTCTGTATAGTTGCAAGATGTATGCCTTTATACTTTCCATTCCCTTCCTGGATTCTAACAAATAAATAGTTTCTTTATTACAAAGGCATGGGGATGTGATCCTGCAAAGGAAATGGCATGGAATGTCTTATCGTTATTTACGACATCTGGGATGCTGTTTCTTGAAGTAAGTTTGGTGGCCTTTTTGCTCCAAGGAAATTATGCCAGTGGCTTGGAAGCTTTGACACGGACATTTGTGGTCTCAGGTCTCATTGTTGGTCTGGATTTGTTTTTGAAGGTAATTTCACTACTTTACTGACCACAGAATTACTGATGTCAGATGGTAGTGGGAGTCTCCTCCTTTGTAAATTGAATCATTAATTGCAATACTCTGCATTCTTCAAGCCTGATTTTTAGCTGTGACTGAATTTCATCTGCTAGCAATCTAGAGATATGGGTATTTTGGGCCTATATTCATCAGACACTGTTTCTCTTATGGAAAGGCATACACTGTTTCTTGTTGTTTATTAAGCTTCTCTGTTTTCTCTCTTTTGTGATCTTTTCACCTCTCGATTCTTTTTTGATATATGCATTATGTAGTCTGGAATTATGAAATTTATTTTAATTGGACATGTTTCCATGCCAGGTTATATACTTATTTGGATTTGGAGTTCCTTTGTTTGTTGACAATAGTGAACAAACTCACCAGATTAAGTGGGGTTTGTGGGTTTTTCACCGGTTAGTTCTTACTGCTGTTTATGGTGTCATACTATTCATGTACCACTCAAAGTGGAGAGAAAGGCTACCTGGTAGGTCCATCTACTTCAAGTATGTTATTGTTGCAGATGTTATTTAAAGTATTTTACTACTTTCATTCATGACCTTATATCTTTGCCTTTGTGCAGCAAGACCTGCATTCTACAGATATGTCTGTATCATGTTCATTATGAATGCACTGGCATTGCTTGCTTGTGGACTAACTGCAAATGGAGCCAGTTTTGGGTTTTGGTAATTCATTTTAATTCCTTCTAAGTGGAGAATTCATTTGCAACTTATAGTGTTTCTTATCAATATTCAGTTTCCAAGGCCTTATATAAAAGGGGAAAAAAAAAACTTTTACAGGTTATATGGTGCTACAATTGTCTGCTATCATGCCTTCTACCTTCCTCTTCTGTATAAAATATTTCTGGCCGACTTTTTCCAGGTGATCTTGTTATCACTTTCTCTATGATACTTAGATAGTTAACGACTGGTTTTTCAAGGATACTGACATGAGACTATTTGTCTGCAGGAGGAAGATTTGCATTTGGAGAATGTTTACTACTCAGAGATGAAAGATGCTGGCTTCTTTGATGCTGATTGGGAGTGATAATTGCGACTACTTTGAATCGCTAGATATCCTTGTTATTGCTTGTATGGCCCTGAAATGTAAATAGGCTCATTGCCTTTTGCAAAATGCCTCCAATTGAAGAGATATATGCTTATTTCAATGTATGTGTCGATTCTTCTTTGGCAACCATACGGTAATATAGACTTCTCTTCAACTTTTCCGACAGAAATGTGCAATTAAAAAACTGTCATGTTAGTAACATTAGTGCAGTTAACATTCAATAAAACTGATTCATCTGTAAATTAAAAGAAAAAAAAGAAAAAAAATACAACTATTGTGGTTAAAGCCAAGCTAATTGTACAACAGTTTGCAAGTTTTGATTAACTTTTCTGAGCGAACATTATGTGTCTTTTTTTTTTTTTGTCAGCCAAAAATCATATCATATTTATTAATCAGAGTACGAGGGTACTCAATCCATTAACACAACAAATTACATTATCTAATGTATTTTCATATGATTTACTCTTTATCTCTTAGAGGATGTCTTAGTAATAAGATACTGAATTTAGATTTTAGGATACGTGAAAAGAAATTACCTATTGGCTAATCCATTATTCAAATATACCCAAAAGATAAATGGCTTACTATTTTTATTTAAGATTCCTACTTGAATTGGCATACATTTACCAGAACATTCCCGTAACTAGTAAGACATGTTAAGAGAAGTCAATTTGACAATTTACTAGTTTATCTTTAAAAAACAAAAAAATCAATTTTCGTTCATTTACTCTTTTTTTTTTTCTTTTTTTTTTCTGTTAAGCCAATTGTTATTCATATACCACATAGAAGTATTACCATTTTCCAATGCTTCAAGCAACTTTCAAAACATACACCGCAAGACATTTCCACTGTTAGTTTCCAGTTTCCAGGAAAATTCCTTGCAACTTGAACATGACAGGTACAAGGTAATATTCAAGAGCATTTTACCACCTTAGAAACTGTAATACAGCCGACCCCATAAATAGGGCTTGCAACATGAGCAACAATAGGCAAAAAAGGCAGTTTTTATTGCATTATGGCTTCCCATTGGATACCACATGTCCTGTTCCATTTAAAATTCTAGTTCTAGTACTTTCACACTAAAATAAGAAAAACTCAACAAGCCGACGATTCTGTAGAATGACTAATTAAACAGGCATACAACTCAAGTTCACAAGGTGGTTTCCAGCTGCTCTAGTGATAGCGCACTACTTATGACATCAGTATAATAAAATAAACTTTAACTTAGGTAGCTATTCTTAGGCACCCTTTTTCTCAACGAGGTTCTCTATAAGATCAGCAGCGTCCTGAACTGTTGCAATGCTTTGGGCACTGTCCTCTTCCACACTGATGCCAAATTCTTCCTCAAGTCCCATAACAATCTCCACCTGCAAAGTTTAGACAGCCCAATTACCATATGCACCACAACTGATGACATCAACTAAACAGAAAATGATGCCCTTCTATTTCTTGAATTAATAAAAGGCTCCACAATTTTATTAGATTGTAAGAAACTTAAAATCCTATCCACCACCCTTTGGGCTTACGCTACAAGGAAAGAAATTATGTTTAGTGAATTTAAAATTACAAGCTTAAGCTCTTTTTTTTTTTTTTTTTTACCAAGTTAAAGCATTTAAATTTTAGTGAACTTAAAATTAACAAATTAAAACATTTAAAATAAACAGCAGATGGAAAATCCAAACATTAAAACAAGTTAACAAAAATATTAACATTTCAAGGTCATATTTTTGATAAATTAACAAATAATTGCTAGGTTACCGTATCAAGAGAATCAGCTCCAAGCTCTGAGAATTTTGATGCAGCTGTGACTGGAGAATCATCTGATAGTGCAAGTTGTTTCTTCACTATTTCACACACCTTATTCACTGTCTCTGGTTTTGCCTGCTCAATGACATTTTAGCACATGAACAAATGTTATCCACAAACCATGTAAGGCACATATGATTAAAAAAAAAAAAAGAATAGACAGAATGCAGAAGGATCTGCAACATTTAATCATTCAGAAACATACCGCACAAGAGACCCTCAAGCGAGTAGACCTGAGACATGGGGTAAAAGAGAGGGTGCTTCTTCCCTTGTTTGAGAATGAAACAGAGAGACCAGAAAGCCTTGTTGTGCCCTGCCCCACATTATTCAATCCCCAAAAAAAATTAGTAGCCCTCAAAAATCCAGAAATGTGTTATAAAGTCTGGAAAACTATGTTAAGGAATCATTCAACCGAAGATAGAAGAATCAAAGTTGTCATCAAAGGAGTTGGATTTGCTACTGTAATGTAAACTTCTACTATAAAAACCCAGCAGCCCAAACATTTACCACCCGACTCTCATGAACTATCATTTCTGACCAGAGACCACAATCAGAAGCAGAAAAACATATCGAGCAACAAATCATCTATAGCAACAAAAGTAAACCACAATACTACCCATGCAGCTCACTATAATGAGAAAAAAAAATTTAAAAATAAAGAAATTTCAAATCTGAGATCATCCAGATGAAATCCACCGCAACATAGATTCAAGTGCTAAAGATTCACATGCCTAAGTTCTAACGCCTCATTTTAAACGTCATAAAAGAATAAGAATCAGAACAAAATCGTTAGAAAACAACAAATCACCATAAGATCAAAGAAGATGATAAAAGATCGGAAATGAAAACGAAATATCAAGCAAAGGAAAGAATCGGAAATGAAGATGAAAGTAGGAGGGTTATTACCAAGGTCAGGCGAGGGCGGATGGTGGTTGATGCGCCGGAAATAGTCGCCATTGGAGAGAGAGCGCGAGAGGGAGCTGGACGGCGGAAGTGAAAAAAGACGGAGAACACGAAGAAAGTGAAGGAGAGGCAGTTGTGCAGGTTTTTATAGCTGGAGTTTTTGTTTTGTTACATGCGCAAGGAACGCAGGGTTTTGTGAAATGCATGATCCATGCTCATTGGGAGAAAAATTTAACTGGCCCACTTTGTGCCGAGTTGGATTTGGTCCAGAAAGAGAGGACTGAAGCCCAAATGGGAAAACAATGGAATTGGGCCTAATATCTGTAAATGCCTTTTGAATTATGTTTGCTTTTTTCCTTTTAACAGAAACTGAAATTCATTACTCACTCGCTTTCTTTATATAGTCTGGCTAGGCAAGAGGGGCCTCATCTCAAATAATCAAGAATTTGAGGTCTAAGAGTTGATTTGAGAGAAATGGAGGAGAAAGAATCAATCAAATTATAATATTGACAAATAATGTAATTTGGTTGGTTAAAAAATTTATCTCTTCTTTCCATTTCATTCAAACCAAACATACCCTAAGTTAGAGATTTGAATTTTTAAGGTGAGTAATGAGGGATTAAGGAAAAAAAAGATTGTCTCTTTTTGTATAATTTAATCATTGCACGTGCAAAACAAAGTATGGTTAAGTCCAATAACAAGGATAAGACCCTCTTGGCTGTGATTTTGCCTCCGGCCCAAACAGCATACATTTAAGTGTGGTTCGTCTAAACTTTTATCTAACTATTTTAAAATTGAGAAAAGTATAAATTAAAATACCTAAGATTATTTACAAAATTATTTAAATTAATATTTTAATAAATCTTCTTTATGTATTGATTTATTAAGGATATTTAAGTTTTTTCATTATTATTTCTATCATTTTAATAGTTAAGAAGTTTAGAATTTCTACAATTCCTTTAAAATTAATTTAGTAATTATATTGGCCCAAAATAATATGAAAAAATGAGACTAAAGAATGGGAAAACCGAAAAAAAAAAAAAAGGAAATTTGTTCAACTTATTACAGCTGTTGGATGAATGATGGTTGGTTTAACCACTCATATTCCTTCTTCTTGTAAGCTTAACCACCTATATTTCTTATAATGGTCTATCTATTATTTTGTTAAGATTATTTAAAAATTATTTAATTTAATTAATATTTTATATATTTATAATTTTTTAA